CCCTTGTGTCTAACATTTATTTAACCCTTTTATCAAGAGATGAGCTGGCATGTGGAAGGCCAGGGACACCAGCCTGAAGGCTGGGAGGGTTTTATTGCTGCTCGTGTTTGAATTAGAAATGCACAGGGCTGAGCGCACTGCAAATGTACTCCTCCAACAGATGTGATGCAGGAGCAGCACAATGAAAGAGGGAGAAACTGGCCTGGCTCCCTCCAACCCCTTTCCCTCTAACTGGACATAGAGCAGCCGCTCAGCTTGGTAGAGACTGTGCTGCTCAGAGAAAAACAATTTGCCAAAAGGTTGTGGGCTTCTTTTACTCTTCCACCCCAACATGAGGCAGAGATGAGCTGCCCTGCTCCTGGCACCAGTTCTGCAGCCCTTGGAGAAGGGGTAGATTTGGGACACATGGAGAGAGCCCAGTATCTGCCTAGCTGAGACAGGATGTCACTAGCTGAGTTACCCCCTCCCTACTCAGAGAGAAACTAATGAGTGCCTTCCTTCAGCCTTGATTCACCTCCAGACCCAGCCTACTCTTATGGGAAAATTTAATTACCTAGGTTTTTTTGACACTTCATACACTTTCTGTGAATCTTTTCCAGGCTTCTCACCTGGATTTTTTTTGGTTTTAATCTGTTTGGCTATGACTGCTTCTGATGGGAGGGTTCCTTGGCTGGGCACCCATTTGCAATGAATTTCCCCCGATTCCCTTAGGGAAGAGGCTGTGCATGTCCCTACCTGCTGGAAGAATGTGGGATGGCTCCAATTGTGGCTGCCAGGGATTTTTTAATACACTGACTTCCTTGTGTCTGACTCTTGGGTCCCCTTCCCTCCAGCATATGTGGCAGGAACTTTCTGGCTTGGGAACCGCTGTCCAACAGATCATCCTGAACACATCACTGGAAAGTCTGGCTTTGGCTTGCTGCATGTGGTCTCACATGGGTCAGCAGAGTGGTGAAACAGCTGGAGAACCTGTTTGAAGGAGCCCTGCATGTTCTTCTGAGATTAGATGAAGAGATGACTCAGTTTCTAAGCGTGGATGTAAGGAGGAGGTTGGCAGCAGTTCTGCAGGACAGCACTGAAGGAGAAAGGGCCTGGCCATGACAAATTCAAGCTGTACTGGCAACAGGGAAATAATATGCAAGGCAAGTGTCTTGCAAAGCTTGAGGCTGGGTACTCAGCGGGACTCAAGAAATAGCCAAACATTCAACCAGCCCACATAAAACAAGATTGGATCCGTTTTGAATGCCAAGTTTCAATTTGGTGACAAACACTGTTACAGGTATTAGCACAGGGCCTGCACAGCATGGGATGTTAACCTGATCAAAACTCTTTCCCTTGAGTTTGGGCACTTGAGACTGTTTCTGGTGTTGGTCCTGGCACCTTGCAGCAGCATTCCCAGAAGACTAGACGCTAACAATAGCTTTGTAGCTTTTTCAGCTGTATTATTTTAAGATTGGGTGGGTGGCTTCTTGCTCTCATGTAAACAGAAATTCTTATCTCCAGGTTTTCCTGATACTTTCCCCTATGATAGCTCATGCTTCTCCAGCCTGAACAGTCCTAGGTTTTGGGTCCTAGGCTCAATGCTTGAACTGGAGAACTGGAGAAAAGCATTAGGGTTTCTGCTGCCCTCAAGGCAGCCTGGCAGCCCCTTTCCCTCTGACCAGGTTCCTAGTGGACCCAAGAAAGATTGCAAGAGAGCTCTCTGCCAGTGCCTGCTATTCCCGTGGAGAACAGATTCCCAGGAGCTGGGCATAGCTGCTGACTGGTGCATTTGTAGTGCAGGTGAGTTTGGTGGGGAGGTTGTGTTTCCTACACAAGATGAGGCTGAGACCCAAGACAAGCACTGGGCAGGCAATGCTGCTAGAAGCCCTCTTGCCCAGTGGTCTGGTGACCCAGCCTACCTGCTTCACAGCACTCCTCAAAGCTGGGGGATATCCCAGGAGTAAAAGCCACCCTAGTTCTCCAGAGGTGTGTTATATGTGATTGCTTTGCCAATAGCACTTCTCACCCTGCATGCACACATGTGCAGGGACATGTCCCACCAGCCACACAAGTTACCCTAGGACAGGCTCAGTTCTGCTTTGGCTTCTTAGCAAGCAGCAGCAAAAGAGAGAGGCCATAGGAGAGGGAAAGGATGCTGTTGCAAGAAGTCCAGAGCAGGGGAAAATGGGGCTTGAAACTCCTGCCAAGGTGTTTATGCTGGGGCTTAGTCTGGGTCCTGCACCTCCACTGTCCTCCTGTAGTCTGCCTCCTGGCCTCTTATGGGCCTGAGTGATCACTAGGACCACTGTGGCTGCAAGCAGCAATATGGGCAGGATTGGGGCAGATGTTGCTGGCCCTGTCTGGCCCCCATCCTAGTCACAACAGAGACTGTCCCCACTTCCTGCCCTGCTCCCCTTGCCTATATGTTCATTCTGGTACACCCCTAAGCCCATCTTTCACAACCCAGAGTGTCTGGTTTGGTTGTTTTGTCCTTAATGATCTTGATCTGCCCCCCCCAGAGAGGGGGAACTGGGGTCAACTCACAACTGAACCGTACAAATGTCCTTATCCGAGTCAGCAGGGACTTGCTACCATGTGTCCCTCTGCACCTCTGGCCAGGAGAGCCCCCCAGGAAGCACCACAGACATGAATTGCCCTTGGTGTAGCAGCAGGAGTGACGACCATGTACCAGATAGTCAGAGAGAGGTGTCCTGAAGCACAGAGGTGGTGGAAGAGCAGCAAAAGGGAAGGCCACCAGTCGGTATGGGGCTGCAGGGAGAAAGACAAGCAGGTCTGTGGTGCACATCAAGCACCTTCCTCAACTGCCTCCAATGCCCGGAGAAAGGACTGAGCCAAGGGCTGCTCTGGCTCCTCCTTCTATGTGGCAGGACCTCAGAAAAAGCATAGCTGAACCAAGGAAACAGAGGTATCTGCTGGAAGAAGGATATGTTTTTTGTATTTGTCAGTGTTGAACTCCTTTAAGAACCTCTGTCCCAAGGTTTGTGTGTAGGTGGAAAAAGCTGGGGTTGGTTATTTGCTCTGTCAGCCACCTGGGCCATTATCACATACTTTGAAGACATCAAGAGCAAGATAAGATCCCCTTTGAGCTGCCACATATGGCATGTTGAGATGCAACTCTGAGCAAAATTCCCGTGTACTCCTGGAGGCTTGGTCCTTCCTCTTTGCTTCCTCTCCATTCATACCTTCACAGAAAGCAGTAGCGTTTTTCCAGCTCTGGCCTCATGTGCTATAGGGTAGTGGTGGGAACATGCCAGCATTTAAACCCCCGGTCACAGGAAAGTGAGGATGGGTTCTGCCACTTCTCAGTGACAGGGGAGGGTGAGCCCATCAGCCCCACCACTCAAACCAAGCTCCAGAGCCTTTTTATTTAATAGAGATAAAGGAATAGCTCTAGTCTCTCCAACCCATCATTCTTCAAGTAAATAAATAATTTTTAGAAAAAGACCCATAGAAATACTTGTGATGGTAGAAATTAGTCATTGTGGTTAAATTGTTCAAATTGCACATTCATTCAAAAATGTGCCATATGAGAAAGTAAAAGGTCCTCTTTTGAGCCAGACTTGGAAAGTGATTTCAATAGTCATCTCTAGGGTGATGTGAAGCACATTCCTGTTGCTCCCATAATACCACCAGCAGTATTTCATGCTAAACAGACCAAAAATCTCAAGAAAATCAGTCTACATGATTTGGATCTTCTCAGTGAGATACAGCTATGAAAAAACAGACAAATTCAAATGGAAAAAGAATGGATTTTTTTAAATCTCAGTTGATACCTGTTTTATTTTAAGTGTATAAACAGTGTGAATACAAAGAGGAATACTTGGTATTTCCTTCTGGAACTAAAAACATTGGAGGGGTAGAAAACGTAAAGTTTTCTCCTTCCTTTGATGACTGCTTCAAAAGATTTAGTGTTTTTCATTTAAAAGAGCAAAATTAATGCTTAAAGTTAGAGAAGTAACCGCTTATTAAAGAGATTTTGATTTTAAAGGTATATCAAGTCTGACATACGAGTGCTTCCACTCTTAACTGAGCTTTTCAAGCTGTCATGATGTTGGAAAGCTTGGATGAAGTATTTCGTTATAAGAAGGTAGAACATCAAAACTCCATGGAAAAAATTATTAGAGCAAATCCTGCATAGAAACCAGTTTTTCTATGCAGAATCCTGCATAGAAACCAGTTCGCTGTATTTGTGCAGGGTATATTTTAAGAGCAGGTGATAACACTGGAGAGAAGCTTTTTCCATGCCAATTTTGGCATGCATGGCATGCAGCAACAGCCTGGTTTCACTGTGCCAAATCCATGGAGTCTGGTATTGACTTTGCTGAGTAAATATTTTTTAAGGCCTTTGCAGTGCCTGCTTAAGCAATTCCCTGCTATGGTTCTGCAAAAATGCCCTTGCTTTTCAAGAAGCAGAAACAAATTTCCACAGTAGCACTGCAAATATTAACACACTGCTCATGCCTCTCATTTTATACCATCAAATGCTGGACACTGGAAGCATATGAGCCATAGTGAAGCAAAGCATGCTTTGTGTCAGCATTATTTGCTTGATTTCCATGTGCTAAACAAGCAACAGCCAGTTCCTGGCAAAGGAATTAATTGTTTGACAATACAGCGGGTGAGACGAGCAGGCTGACCACTGTCACAGCAAACTCTGGGCATAAAATTCGAGCAGATACCACTCAGATACAAGCTTTGGGCTACTACTCTGGTGGCATGTAGCACTGTTCTGGAAACACTTCTGGTTGCGCCTTTGCCTTTTCTTCAGGTAAAAAGCACATAAATGGGAAGGGAGGCTATTAAATCAGGTTGAGGAGGTCTGAACTGAGCTCCTGTCCCTGACTTTTTCTGTGACCTTAGGAAAGCTGCTTAACTCTCACTCACAAAGCAGAAATGATAGTTTGTGTCTCCCTGTGGTGTTACAAGGCAGAATCAACCACAACTTTTACATTTGGCTGTGATATGCAGGACATGAAAGTACCTAAATGAGAAAGGAATTGAGTAATAAATACAATGATTTATTAAAACACAGGGTGGAGAAGTGAGTGCTGGAAGTTGCTAGGCCAGGAATGCCCCAAATGCCCTTGAAATACCCCAATTCCTCTCCAGTGCACAGGAAGTAGTGCTCTTCTCACTGGGGCAGGCAGCATTGAGAGCTGGAGCTCGCCAGTCCATGGAGGGCCCTCAGAGTGTCTTTCTGCTGAATTCCAGAAAAAGAGCAGCTGAGTTACTCAAGGCACATGAGCAAGAGCTATCTTGGAGAGGGAGCAATGAAAAAGGATCAGGAAGTCCATTCGCTGCACTTCTTTTCCTCCTCAGCTACAATTTCTGGGTGCATCTGAGAGCAGAGACTGTTCAGCCTGGAGAAGAGAAGGCTCAGGCAGGGGGAGATTATAGGTGTACTGGTAAGTACTGACGGGGAGGAATGAAGGACAAAAGGTGATGAACACAAGCTGAAATGCATGAAATCCCATCCAAACCCAAGAAAATACTTGTGTATGTGTGTACGTGTAGTGTGTGCGTATTGTGTGTATGTGCTTGTGTATGTGTGCTAGGTGTAGGAGCAGGGGTGTGAGTGTTGTATGTTTTGTGTTGCGAGTGTGGTTGTATGTTGTGCGCACAGTGCACGTTTCATGTGTATTGTGTGTGTTCAGTGTGTGGGGTGATAATCCAGAGCTGTGTATGGCCCCAGCTAGGACTCAGTCCCATACGGGTGCCAAGGGGGCCCAGAAGCAGCTTCAGCCACAGATGGGGGCAGAGGCATGTGGGAGAGGGGATTGTGGGGCACCTGATGGTTTATGGGATAGATATGGGGGAAGTTGGGGGTACCCAGGGGGTTATGAGGCACATGGGAGGTTGTGGGACCCTGTGGGAGGTATGGGGCATCCAGAAAAGCAATGTGACACCTGAAGGGTGAGGATACTGAGGGAGAGAGCTGGGTGCACATCCAAGAGATCAGGGGGACCCTGGGCTGGGGGAGTGGGGATGGTTATGGGGCACCCATAGGAGTTGTGGAGTGACTAAGAAAGGAAGAGAGGGCACAGGAAAGGTCAGACACCCTACAGGTCCATGGGACATCCATGATGCTGGGAAAAGGGGTTTATAAGGCACATGGGTGGCTAGATCCACCTTGGACAGGGTTGAGGGCACCCAAGGGGCTTAGGGGCCACCAGAGAGGGGTAAGATCACAGGATTCCCCCAGAAGCTGATGCTGGAGCCCAGGCCTGTGACACCTCCTTTATTTCAGGCATTAATGGAGCCTCCAGTGGGAGGGAGAATCCGTATCCCCACCTACAGCCCCCACACGTCCAGCCTCACTGCGGGGGCGCGTAGGTGCCGGCGAGGTGCACGGGCAGCCCGTCCCGGCAGGCGACCCGCACGTGGTGCTGGACCTGCCGGGCGCGGTAGGCACAGGGGGGGCGGGTGTCCCCCCCCCGCAGGCGGCAGGCTGTTATGCCCATGGCTGTCGGGGTGCTCTGGAACCCTGAGGCATCAGGCTCCCGGGAGCAGGCAGCCACCAGATCCTGGGCCGGCGCGTGCACGAAGGTGTTGGAGGGCTTGCAGGGCCTCCCCTGGGCCGTCACCTGCCGGCGTGCCAGCATGGTCTCACAGTAGCGGTGCGCCGCGAGCGTGGATGTCCGTGGGTAGTCCACGTGCTGCCGCAGGAACTTCTCGTAGCGGCTCTCGCCCTCCACCCCTGCCAGTGCTGCCAGCACCAGGGTCACGCATAGCACCCAGCCTGCCATGGACACCTGTGGAAAGCAGGGTTAGGGCCATCTGGACTTCTGGGCCCCCAGCTGGAAACCCCACCCTAGATGCTTGATTTCTCTACAAATTCCCCCTCCCGAACACCTGGGTCCCTTGCAAATCCCCTCTAAATGCACGGGGACCCACCGCTGGACAAATAGGCCATCTGTGTGTCTCACCTGGATGCCTGGACACCCTATAGAATACCCCACGGACACCTGAGTTAGGCACTCCCCAGAAGCCTCAGTCCCCTACAGAACACCCCCTATCTGCTCCTCAGACCCCTGGGTCCCCTATGGATGGGGTCCCTGCCCCAGTGCCCAGACGCCATACACAGCCTCCCTCTCCCACCGGATGCTTGGGTTCTTCACAGCCCCCTCCCACAGACATTCCCTTACACATCCCTCACCCCCACCTGTGTGCGCGCCTCAGTTTCCCTTATGGCCTCAAGGTCTCCGGGATCCCTCCCACTCTTCTGCACATCTTTTATACTGGCCCCAGCTGGGCCCAATGGGCAAGGATCCAGGAGGAGGGGCAGAAGAGTAAAGAGCAAGGTCCAGTGGATGTCTGGGAAGAGACAGGTATCCAGGAGGCCCCACTCACCCTCTTGGTCCCCCCCAAGGTCATTAGGTAGTCATTAACAAACCACGTGACTGTCTGCACACATCCCCTTGGTGTCCCCTGCCCAAGTTGCCTTGGATCATGCATCCTGGCTTGGCCACCTGTCCCATGAGAGGCAGGACACCTGGGCCTCTTTGGGTGGCAGAGCAAGATAACTAGTTCCCTGGTGGGGACAGAATGTCAGCATTACCTCAAGGGGACCTGACTGATGTTCCTGCTCCTCTTGAAACACATGGCACATCCACGGCTGTCCTGCAGTGCTTCAGGAGCTATGCATCCCTTTTCCCTGTGTCCCCTTGCAGGCAAGTTCATACCCCTGGGAAGTGCATTTTGCCTCGCTGCTACCTCATATGCTCCCAGCTACTCCACTGAGGCAGAGAACAGCAAAGAACCAGAAGCCAGTCTGAGCCTATCAAAGACCCATTCCTTTCCCTTGACCATCCTGATGGACTGCCATGGAAAGCATGTCCCATTCAGGGGGAAAGGCTGTCACCACTGGGTGCAAGTGGTCTCCATTGTCCTCTTCAAAGACATGATAGAGACTGTGATGGGAAGTGGCAAACGGGAGAACGTGCACAGGAGCCCTCAGCTGCCCTTCTCCCACATGAGCAGCCAAGTCTGAGCCCACCAGTGATTCAAGGAGGACAAGGAGTGGGCCTCAGTCCTAGAACCATGGGTGGCTGAGAGATGCACTTTTGAGTGTGTGTCACCATCACCTGACCTACTTGTCCCCCAGGACAGCACAGAGCTGCCCCCTGTCTGTCCCAGGCCCACCATGTCCTTCAGCCTTGGGTACACTTGGTCCTTGGCACCACCTTCCCCAAAACAGCTGTCACAGTTTCAAGACTCGCCACAATGGAAGTGCAGAGGGTCCTACCCTGGGCTCTGGTGGCATTTCTACAGCCTCTCAAGAAATCCTCCTCAAAAGTGCACAGCCCCTGCAGCAGGAACAGCTCAGGCACCAGGCCAAAACCCTGCAGACAGGGAAGGTCAGCACAGCCCCCTTGCTGACTCTCAGATGCTGACAATACCCTGCTCCTGCTGGGCATGGAAGAAGGATGGGGACTCTCATCAGAACCCTCCAGACACTCTCTGGTTTCCACTGTCCTGGTGTGGGTGGAAAAGGGATGGTGTCTGCAGGAGGAGGAGCAAGCCTGGATGTCTGGCAACGGGCTGACTCTAGCTGGCATGGCACAGGGACCTGTGCTGGAGCCTTTTCTACCTGGCAGACCTTCAGGTGTATCCTTCCCAAAGGTCACTATGATGTCTATTCATGAACCACAGCCTGTGGTCCATTCTTGTCCCAGGGAGTCCTGACTGCCTGGCGCTGTCCTGGGCACTGCATCTCCCTCTCTCATCCCTGCCCACCATCCCAGGTGGGCTGATCGGAGCCTCCTGCTGCCCTGTGGCAAGAGGAGCCATCAGCCGAGGCACTTGGGGAAGCCTAGACCAGGAACTTCTGTTTGTCTCCTTGGCGCCCCATATGGCATGGGAATGTTGCCAGTTTTGGGAGCTTTCTAAACACAGACACAGAGACTAGTTTAGAAAGGAGACACTGCTTATTCTGTGCAGGGTGCTAGATGAAGGTTCCACGTATCAAGCACACCATGGGGTAAAAAGTTACATCTTTTATACAATAAAGTTTACATGAACCGCCTACCTAATGCATATTTATTTGTATGACGTAATCTTACACAACGCTTAAAACACAAAAGCTCTTTTCTTTATTAAGCAACTTCTACTGTAGAAGTTATCCAACGACACCAGTTACGTTTACAAAAAGCGAGAAGACTCAGCCTGGGGACAGATAATTCGGCTTGAAGGCATCAGGAAGGAAACGTAACTGATGCGCATTAGGTAGGCGGAGAATATGTATTACATAGGCGGGTTCAGGTAAACTTTACTGTATAAAAGAAGCAACTTTTTACCCCACGGGACCTACCTTTCGCCCGGGCACAGCCGGCGCAGCGAGCCTGGTCTCTGTGGCTCTTGGGTCCCCGATCTCAGGGTCGCGGTGCGGGCGCTCCGCAGGGCGCAGCTGTGCCGGGCGGGGGCGCTCACGGGCACGGCCACGCCGAGCGCTCCCCCGGCCCCCCCGCGCCGTTGGTTCCGTCCCGCCGTGGTACGGCCCGGCGGGGGAGGTGGGAGGGGGGGGCACCGCCCGGCCCCTCCCGGCGCGAGACGTCCCCGTGCTCGCAGGTCTCGCGTGAGCGCCGGTCTCGTATAATCTCGCGGGAACGGGGGCGCCCCGCCCTTTCGCGGCGCGGGCGGGACGATGGCGGTCGGGAAGAACAAGCGCCTCACCAAGGGCGGCAAGAAGGGCGCCAAGAAGAAAGTGTGAGGGCGGCCGGGGCGCGGGCGGGCGGTGCCCGGGGGCGCCGGGCGGATGGCGGCGGCGGCGGGATGCCGGCGATGCGGGGCGGATGGCGGCGGCGGCCAGGCTGGAGCGGGGCCCGGGCTGTCATGGCGGCTGCCGGGCGGGCCTGGATCTAGAGAGGCGGCATGTGGGGAGGGAGGTTTTACTGAAGCTCGGCTGGGTCTGAGAAAGTCGGTTAAAAAATCTTTTCCCTTCATTCGATTTAAGGGTCGATCCTTTCTCCAAGAAGGACTGGTACGATGTCAAAGCACCGGCGATGTTTAATATCCGAAACATCGGGAAGACACTTGTCACCAGGACCCAAGGAACTAGTGAGTAGTTGGGGTTTGTGCAGTAGAGGGGCATGTGTCTCCTCCGTGCGCTGGCTCCAAGCGGGACTCGATTAAAGAACTGCTGACAAATGGGTTTTGCTCGTATTAATATGAACCTGGAAGTTAAAAAAAAAATAGGCATCTCTGGCTCAGTTGGGTGATTTAAGTGAGTTTTCTTGAGTTGGGCAAGTTGTTTGAATAAATGAGCTTAGTTGCAGGGAAGTTCATACGGTGAGGTCCTTGTTTGTACAAGAAACCAAACCATAGGAGGACAGGATAGGCCTGAAGTTTCTGATGAGCTGCTGTGGTGCTAACCTAGTGGGTTGGAGAAAAATTAAGAATTAAGGAGTCATTTTGACTGTCACAGGGGGAGATGTGGGACAGTGCCACGGGAGACCTTGGTCATAACAGGATCATAACGACCAGCATGTCAAGGGACTAAAGTTTAAAGCTTTTGGGTAAAGGTGTCTCATCTCTGTTGAGAGCTGGAATTGCTGATTTAGTGTGACTGTGTGTACATGTAGGCGTATCACTGAATGGTAAAGTTGTTTTTATAGGATCTGGCACATCTTAGGAAAAGGAAATGTGTTAGGGATGCAGGGGGATCTGGATAGGGGTAACAGTACTTTTGGAAGCCTAGCTGTGCAGAATGGCTAAATAGTTACACTGTACTACATTTATGAAGATGATCATTACTTTGAACTGTAACGTGAAACAAGTAAAATAAGGGTCACTGTAAACCAAGTGTGAATCAGCCAGTGTTAAAATGGTTGTTAGAGGGGGAGCTGTGAAATGACTGGGGTGTTGGTTGCTGTTTCATTTCTGCTGTGGCATTTTTGTTTTTCATTGCTGTTCATAACTTCCAAATACTCTGGAACCTGTTCCACTTAAAACAACCCAAACTATTACATGTGGTGCAATCTGCAGCACGCTGGTGTTCATGTCCCCCATCTGATACAGTCGCCTGGAAAGATTCATCCCAGAGTTAACAAAATCCAGTATTTGGCTCTGTGAATTGATTTGATCTGGCTCAAGACACAAATGAACTGCAGTGCTGCAAGGTCCTGGCATTGCATCCCCAGGGGTTGGGCTCCATCTTGGAGGCCTTTCCAACCTTAGTGATTCTGTGATCACCACCATTAGAAAACATCCAGTGGGAATTTGGTATCTGATTTGAACAGCGCGCTTCTAATGTTAATAAAAGGTATTTTATTTTGTTCCATCACACAGAAATTGCCTCTGACGGACTAAAGGGCCGTGTGTTCGAAGTGAGTCTGGCTGACTTGCAGAATGATGAGGTTGCCTTCCGTAAATTCAAACTGATCACTGAGGACGTTCAGGGCAAAAATTGTCTGACCAACTTCCATGGAATGGACCTCACCCGGGACAAAATGTGCTCCATGGTCAAAAAATGGCAGGTGTGTAAAGAACAAGGTCTGTGTTCCTGCCGGAGCCCTCAGGAAGGGGGGGAAGCACTGGAGCGTTGTGAAGCTGTGTTTGAGGTGGCAGCGGCAGGTGTTAATGATGTCGGGTTAGAGGGGTTGGGGAACCTCTCTGTCATGTGGGGGTAAATGTCTCTTTCTTTTCCAGACAATGATTGAAGCCCACGTCGATGTCAAGACCACGGACGGTTACCTGCTGCGCCTCTTCTGCGTGGGCTTCACCAAGAAGCGCAATAACCAGATCCGCAAGACCTCCTATGCCCAGCATCAGCAGGTCCGGCAGATCCGCAAAAAGATGATGGAAATCATGACCCGGGAGGTGCAGACCAATGACCTGAAGGAAGTTGTCAATAAGCTGTAAGCTCTGACTGTGTTCTCTTTTTCTCCCCTACAGTTTCAGTAGTTGTTTGTTGGTTGGTTGTTGCTGAGAACTTGGAGAATGCTGGTGCTTCCTGTGCCATTTGGCAAAGACCAGGCAGGGAGCCCCTCATGTTGGAAAGCCAAAGGCCATTTTCTGCAGATAGCTTCTCTTGGTCTCTGCATCCTGTTTGACTCGTACCCACTGTAACATTTGCATAAATGTAAAATTGTGCTCTCCAGAGGATTTGCGGTTCTGCAGACTAAAGTTGTAATTCTCATCAGCTGGGGCTGTGAGTGTTCTGGGTTCTTCTGGTATAAGAAGGTTTTCCGAAGTGTGATATTTGCTTCCAAAAGTTTGATTGGAGATTTGTTGTCAAAATGGGCACGCTTGCCCTATGCTCCTTTTAACACTGCAAGGGAAACGTCTTAGAATCTAAACATACTTGAAGAAAAATGTCAGAGTGAAGGTTGCATTAATGATGTGAACTTATGTAGATTATTTCGTACTCTTAAAGATTTTTTAAGCCTGTGTTGCTGGTGAAGAAGCAGGCAGAGTTTTTAACATTGTGGCACTACTGTGCTCTGTGATTTCTCAGGATCCCAGACAGCATTGGCAAGGACATCGAGAAGGCCTGTCAGTCCATTTACCCCCTGCACGACGTCTACGTCCGCAAGGTTAAGATGCTGAAGAAGCCCAAGTTTGAATGTAAGTCAGTTACTGCAGACCTTCAGTGTTCCTGGAGAAGGATGTGGCAAGCAGTCACTTTAAATGTGTTTGCTTTCGGATAAAGATGTTACAGCAGCATCATGAACTTATGCAGCTGTGGTATTGAATTGGTGTGTTCTTGTGTAACTTTGTGGCTTCCAGGATTGAAAGCAAAGCAGTGAGCATTGAGTTAAGAGCTTTTTGAATTCTCACCTGAAACTGCTGCTGAATGCTTAAAGGCTTTACCTTGGGAATGAATGATGACAAAATGTTTCGGTCCCAAATGACATGGAATGATTCTGTTTTCCCATTTTCTGACATTCCCATGTAATGCAGTAGTAGGTTCTTGAATCCAAATCTTTTTAGAAAAAATTTAATTTGTAATTGTGTTATGTTGCACTTAGTTCAGTCTTTTTTCCATCTGACTGTCAGTTACTGCAGCAGCATCTCCTTCCATGAGCTTTCTGGAATGGACTTGGTCATACCTGTATTAAATGTTCTCGTGGTTTGTGTATGATGGGCAACTGAGTAATTTAAAACTGTTTAAACAGGTGCATCCCTCACTGTTTATGTTGCTGCTTCTTTTTAGTGGGCAAGCTGATGGAGCTGCATGGTGAAGGTGGTGGTGCTGGAAAGCCCTCTGGGGACGAGGCAGGCACTAAAGTAGAGCGAGCTGATGGATACGAGCCGCCCGTGCAAGAATCTGTCTGAAACTAAAAATTGGTGGAAAATAAAAGTTTTAATATACAGTACTAATGTTTGGTTGCCTGCATTGCTACTGGGCAGTATTGGTGCTGGATGTGTGGATGGGTTTTCAGTAAGGTAAACCTATTGCCTCGGTTTAAAAAAAAGAAAAAAAAAAGACTTGTGTTGGACTGGTGTTTTTCATGATTGGTGTTGCAAGATGGGTTGGAAGGGAGGTTGTCCTTTTTGTGGATTCTGTATGTTGGTTTTTCCAGTAATTCTAGTCCTTACAAAAGAAATCTTGGGTATCTGTGCAGAGGTTGCATTAATGAGAGGCGCCTCACAGAGGAGCATTGTACAGGGATAATGGGGCTGCTGTTTCAGAATTTTTCTGCTGTTTCAGAATTTTTTATTATAGGGAAGTCTTGAGGATTTATCTGGACTACTTGCCTAAAAATTACATGTATACGTTTAAGCTTCCTCATGGTAATTTAATACAACCTCTTGTGGGATAGATGTGGTCTCCCATAATCAGAAGTTGTTTAAATATCTTAAAGTTGTAGTTATGGTTATGGAAGCTGTGTTTGTTTTGAGCAGTGCAGAAATGCAGAGCATGCTCAAGAGCAGTAGGGGGTTGCATGTTGGTTTTTAACCTCTGTCAGAACTGAGGGGTAACTAATCATAGTTGAAAAACCTGTGAAACTTTAGGGGGAAAAATGATACCGTAAAAAGGCAACGGTCTGTATTCTGAAAACAAAGCATACTTAAGGGATTTGCTGAGTAATTTTAACTGTTTATTATCTGATAGCATTTTTTCTTGTTCAGGCTTCAAAATGGAGGAGTGTTTTTTCTGACTGAAATGAGTTTTTTGTGCTATGAACATGTTTTGTTTAGAATTAGTCCTGTGAAAATGTTGGTAAGTTTCTGATTTAAAATCTGAGAACAAAATGGGGAGGTCAGTGAGAGCTGTAGATCTCGCAGTTGGCTGTCATATAGCATAGGATAAGAAATGGGGGAAAATAGGGAAATATTACTGTTTCAGCAAGTTACTAAGGGAAAAGGAGGGGGCCCTGCTACCCATGAGGGCTGTACTGTTCCGTGTCAGGGATTTTCACCTTTTCCTATTTGGTAATTCTGGTTTGCACCAAATCATATACAAAATGAAACTAATGTTTTCAGACTTCAGAGGACTGCAGGTGATGTGATTTCATGTTGTGATTCCAAGTTACAATTTAATATGTGTTCTGCTTTTTCCAGTTGGTGTAGTGGAAGTGTAGTGAGTGCTCAACACTCATGATCTTGTAACGGAAGAAAGGAATCATTCTGCTTTTGACCCTCTGCTTTGCTCTTCCCATTAGTACTGCTGAGGCAGGTGTCGTCTGCCTCCAGGAGTCCCCGTCAGTCATATTTTTGAAGCCATAAGTTGCAACAAATGCCCCTTCACTTCTCTAACAAAAATGAGAACTTCTCACCAGAGTTAGAAAAATGAACCATGATGTAGGGTAAGTGTGGTTAGAGGTTGGAAAGCCTTGAACCTACTACAACACATTCCAGTGCAGCTGTGCACATGCAGATGTGTGTGTATAGCTATTCCAGGCCTGGATTGGCATAAGGACTGTCAGAGCTGTCAATTATGAACAGCCGTGTGTTGGCTGTTTCCTCTGCTTAGCAGTGGTTCCATCAAACAAATCATTAGGGCCTGCAGCTGGCCCGTATTCTCTGTAGGCTGGGAGAGTTAGGAATCCTAAGGTGGTTTCTGTGCTCATTCTCTGAAAACTTGAATGTCTTGGATATTACTTTCTCCTTCAGCCGTATGTCTGAGGAGTTGTTGCAAAAAGTCTAGTCCGAGAGGATATGGAGAAAGAACAAGAACTTGCCTTTTTTCAGGCTTTTTAATGTTATGTTTTTGAACAGTGGACTGCCAGTATTGCTGTGTAGGGGCTCTGGGCATGTATGTATGTATGTATGTATGTATGTATGTATGTATGTATGTATGTATGTATGAATGTATGTATCAGGATTTCAGATGGGGGAAAAAGCAAGCAGGAAGGAAAATTTTGTGCATCCTCTATTCTCTCAGCAAATACCAGCTGAAAAATCATGGTGTATGAAAGCAGCAGTCAGCAGAGCACACCAAAATCATGTGCAGAAGTGCTCATCAGTACAAGTAATTTTGGCACAGCGAGAGTCACACTGTGTGTGTCACCCTGCGGTGACAGCTGGTTGCTGCACGTAGCAAGTGTCACAGATTCTGCAGGTGGTGTTGAATGTACCTGAGTCCAAAGGCTTGAATAAACTCTGTTAAAGCCATCCAGATTTTCTGAGGGGTTTGGACTACTTGAAAATGGATGCAATATTATTTGTCTGATTATTATTGGTATTTGTCTGGGGGTTGGGTGTTTCTTTGCAGCGGAATGTAAGCAGAATGAGATCCATAAAACTGTCAAGTGGAAAGCTCAGCTCTCCACAGCATAAGACAAAACGCCAGCATGACTTAATTACAAAAATTTTATTGGTTAAATACATTCTTAATTTACAGAGGTACCATAACAAACTTACTGGACTTAACAAAGGTATATTTAGGACACTGTTAATTGTACACAGAACAAAGATGTCTTCCTGAAGATATTTCCAGAGGGTGGGTCAAACAGTATTTCATCAAATTAGACTTTTCTTATTATGCTAATGCACACAGGTCTAGCTAAATTTCAAGGTTACAGCTGAAATTTCCTACTATATTGCAGTTAAGATTTGTGCTCCACCTCGTTCCTGGGTTTTTGTACACCTTAGGAATTTTGTTATGATCTGTAGGCAGTCTCATGGTGGTGCTAGGCATTGTCTTAAGAAAACCCTCTCCTGTAAAAGCCAAGCATCTCACTTGTTTCAGTGTTCACAAAGGCGCTGTTTCAGCTGCCTGCAGCAATGCGAGCAGCCCTTAGATGGCACTCGGTGCTGTGAATAGAAGGCCTTGCTGCTCTCCCTTCCCTGCCCCACAGGGAGGAGATGATTAACATACAGCAGAGTGGTCTTTTCTACGGATAGGCACTGCCTTGAAACATTCAGTGGAAGTTACAAAAACAACTGGTCAATACACATTATAAAAATGAGAACGAGGACATGGAAAGAAAAAAAAATATAAAAGAATCAGTTCTACTTTTAAGACGTATCAAAATTTTAGAAAACTGCCAGACAATAGGTAAACATCATACACAACTCTCACCTACTGCTATACTGATTTAGTATATCTTTGGAGGGCATGGGTATTCCTTGGATTTCTCTAGGAGATGGTGTTTTACTGGAGTAAGAAACAAGAAGTTTTAGAATCTTTTGGCAGGAAAGCTTGGGCAGTGATTTACGTCTAAGTTTGATTCCACAGGAGTTCCAGATAGGCTTGTTGGGGATGCTAAAACTGAATAATAGCTGTACAAATAGTTTTTCCCTCCGAGAATGGCACGTAATTTAGAACTGTTTTATAATATTAATAACCTAATGGAAGTAGAAGTCTAGTTCTCAGCTCATCAAAACTTTGTGTGATCTTCATTTCCCGGTTGTGGAAATGGTATTGGTGCAGTTTAAATACACTACAGAAAAAAATCAGGGTGAAAATGCCTGTGTCTGTGCAAGTTCTGTGGCCTAATTGTGACTGCTGAGTGAAATGGTGCTGAGGACCTCATGTCTGCTCTGCACATTCCTCAGGCTTGTTTCAGGTGAGCTGTAGTCAGCTACTGGGACTGGATGCCCATTCCCCGCTCAGGGGTTGTTCCTCAAGTTCAGTTTTGGCTGTAAGCCTGCTTCTGCCTGCTGTGATGGTAATCAGAGTGCAGGGCACGGGGAGCGAAGGGCAACCCTCACCAGCCTGCTTAGGCATCAATTTAGATGCACCTTGATCTCCTGTAGCAGCAGGGACTTGTTGCTGTGATGCTTAGAGCTCATACTGATAAAGCTGTAGAAAGACCAAGTCAAAACTATCTCAAGGTCAATCATGATCCTAGTTTCCAGTCTCCATTCACCACTCAACTGTTGGCCCTCCTGCAACATGAACTGCCAGACCCATGAAGAAAAGTCTTGTTGAGGGTATCTTGATACCTAGTGACCTGCAGCTCTCTGAAGTAATGACTCGTGCAAACAGCTTACTGGTTTCTCTTTGTTATATAGTGCAGAAATGATGGAATACTGTCAGCAATGAAAGAGCCAACTGCAGCATAACGTTTTCTATTCCAGTCTGATGGAGTTAGATGCCGTTTAACTACTTTGTCAGAAGCCAAGTGTTACAAAAATTAATTTACTACCAGAAGTTCCTATAATGTGAAGCTTCCTCAAGTCATGTCTGTCTTAGTTTGTCAGTCAAGCCACACTGCTACTTTTTACTTATTGCCTTGGTTAGAGCTGCTTAGAGTAACCTCTTGCCAGGCATGTTTTCCTTAATGTCTTGACAGACCATTTATGATGATGCTCAGTATAGTTGGTATGTGGTAACAAACTGGAAACTACTCCCACGTCTGCTGAAAGCTAAAACCAAGGCTGTATAATACCCTTCATGTTAAGGTTAGGAATAGTGTTACTGAAGTATGTTCCAGTGCTTGAGTGACAAATGAAATGTAGACTGACTGAAGACTGGTTTTCCACTTTCATGACGGG